GTGTCAATAGGCCAAAGCAAACTCAAGTTATTGAGCTGAAACTGAATTTCTATTTTTTAGTAACAGTGACCTTGACCTTGATAACAGACACCTGGGTAGCACTCCAAAGCTGCCTCTTGATATAAGCTATCCATACACCATGTTAGGTGTCAATAAGCCATAGCAAACTCAAGTTATTGGGCGGAAACTCAATTTCTATTTTTAGTAACGGTGACCTTTACCTTGATCACAGACACCTGGATAGCAATCCCAAGCTGCCTCTTAATATAAGCTTCCATACACCAAGTTTTGGTGTCAATAAGCCAAAGCAAACTCAAGTTAATTGAGCGGAAACTTAATTTTTCTATTTTTAGTAAACAGTGACCTTGACCTTGATCACAGACATCTGGGTAGCAATCCCAACCTGCCTCTTGATATAAGCTATCCATACACCAAGTTTAATGTCAATAGGCCAAAGCAAACTCAAGTTATTGAGCAGAAACTGAATTTCTATTTTAAAAAACAGTGACCTTGACCTTGATCACAGACACCTGGGTAGCAACCCAAGCTACCTTTGATATAAGCTATCCATACACCAAGTTTAGTGTCAATAGGTCAAAGCAAACTAAAGTTATTAAGCAGAAACTGAATTTATATTTTTAGTAACAGTGACCTTGACCTTGATCACAGACACCTGTGTAGCAATCCCAAGCTGCCTTTTGATATAAGCTACCTACACACCAAGTTTGGTGTCAATAGGCCAAAGCAAACTCAAGTTATTGAGCGGAAACTGAATTTCTATTTTTAGCAACAGTGACCTTGACCTTGATCACTGGCACCTGGGTAGCAATCCCAAGCTGCCTCTTGATATAAGCTACCTACACACCAAGTTTGGTGTCAATAGCCCAAAGCAAACTAAAGTTATTGAGCGGAAACTGAATTTCTATTTTTAGCAACAGTGATCTTGACCTTGATCACAGACACCTGGGTAGCAATCCCAAGCTGCCTCTTGATATAAGCTACCTACACACCAAGTTTGGTGTCAATAGGCCAAAGCAAACTAAAGTTATTGAGCGGAAACCAAAAGTTGACGGCCCCGGCCCCAAACCTGCCTGCCCGCCGACTTCGGCATTACAAAACCCGGTTTTTTGTTGAAAACCTGGGTTAAAAAAAAAGGTAATTTAAAATGATATACTGTAAAATCATTATTATTCGTGGAAACAATTTAGTGGTTTTCCCGTGGGTTCAAGGTCAATCCCACAAATTTAAGATCCGACAAAATTGTATCCAGGCAAAATACTTCTTACCGTCTCTGTTCTATATATTACAACATGCGTCGGCTCTTTTTCCGGCCGATTTACGTGAAATGGACTATATACGATCATAATCAGGTGACAGATTTTAAATCCGTTTGAAAAAATTAAGAAACTTGAAAGAAAACTCGACTAAATATGTCCTCAATTTACTGTCACAAATGTCGGTTGCACATACACACTTGATCATTGTAGGCTTCTTGTTTGTGTAAACAGGAATACTTGACATAATCAAGTAAATATGGGAACCCAGGCAATGCAATAATTCGTGCATATACAAATTGTCATTTTGCTCTTATTAATTTTTAAAAAAAACGTTTTTGATATTAATGTCGTAAGTACACAAAACTATAAAAAATACGATTGCTAAAACAAATGAATTGTACGTTTTTTTCCCGTTTTTAAATGATCCTGTTTAAATGAATTTTAATCTGTATTTATGCGAATGCTATTCCATAAACATCAAAGACGCCACCGACTTTTACTAGATCCACATTAACTCGTGTTATTTACTCAGATTAATTTATATGCATGTAAATTTACACAGTTGCGTGTAGTACCAATTCAGGGTGTAAACTTTTTTAGCTGGCTGGTTAAAACGTGTCAGGTGTCGTATAAATTATGTGATGTTTTACATCAGCGAGTTACAGGGGCAGTGTATCTTTTATGTTCCCACGACAGTTAATTACTCATGGGCAGACTGTGTTTAAGTCCTTTAAGACGAAACCCTGGAATAACAGTGTTAACACTTTATATATTAAAAATCCAGTTTATTACTTCAACGTCCAATTTTCGAATGATAACATAAGTACATTTTGCAACATAATAAAATAAATCATTATAAGAATACAATATTTGAATTAACAATAGTTTGATCTTTTAATTAACAAATATGGGGAAATTAGCTTTAAATAACTCACTTTGCGTAAGAGGTACCATTTTAACAATTCAAATAATTATAATATTACTATTACATAGTACCTAACAAATTATATCAATTTACATATTTAGAATAGATTTTGTAAACTTTAATGAATTATGAAATATAATAAAAGTACATACCTGGAATAACAGAGTTAACACTTTATATATTAAAAATCCAGTTTATTACTTCAACGTCCAATTTTCGAATGATACTGGGACAGTTGAAGCTGGAAGTTTTGTTCAACTCTGTTAAACCATATGCAAATAAACATTAATGTATAAAATGTCCTAAGAAGGAAACATTAGGATGATTTCCTGCAAAAGTTACTATTTTTGTTTAACTATATATTAAGGCATTTAGATAAGAATGGAAAAAGAAAGGAGTAAGCTGACCACTTATCAAGACTTGTTTGTTTAATTGCTAATTGTCACTTAATGTAGCTTGGCTTTAAAGCTTGATATAAAGTTACTTTAGCAAGTCTTTGTTGGACAGCTTACATAAAATAAAACTTAAATGAAAAACACTATTTTTAAGTAAAATTGTAACTATTTTAAAATTACCGAAATAAAACTATTATATTTGAAATCTACATTTAAAAACAAAGATTTTGATATAAAATATGAAAATATCTATTTTAAAAATAAATTGATTGTGATGTAAACTATCACAATCATTCATAATGTAAAAATATGGATCATAATATATCCAATGGAGGTGCATAATTATCATGTCACATAAATGTGTTAATTGCTATCAATTATCGGCAGTAACTTGCTATATTAGAGTTATGCCCAGAGGCAAGGATTAAATTTATTGGCAAGCGCTGTGTGACACGCAAAGATATGTACATGCTGTAAGTAAAAATGTTCTGCTATTACGTTTTAGATTACTTTGCATTAGGTTACTTAATTTCTTTATAAGAAAATGAAAATCCACGAATTTAAGAACCCACAAAAATGCCCGTTATGATAAAACCACGAAATTTCATGCCCACGAATATAAGTGAATTCGCAGTAATATACATTAGCTGTATGAAACTTTGAAATGCAATTACAGAAACTTTTACTTAATTACTATCTTTTCAATTAAACATAACCAATTTCTATAAACATAATCATTATTGGCGTCCGCGCAAAAGCGCGACGCCCCTTATGGAATGAAATCAGGGTAATTGCAACTTCTCGGGCCATTTCGTTGGTCATATTAGCCAATCATTCCAATTGGTATGAGGGTGTTTGATTATCAAAAATGAAATTTCCCGATACGTACAATGAATAGCAAACTGGAGAATTTCGCAATGCAAACATATTCAATTAAATTATCTTATCCGTCAATTAATCTTCTTGGATTTTTATTAGTACACAGTGGGTTATTACGTATTGCTGTACCTATAAACAGAATGATGACTTTGTGAATGTCCAAATCTATTCATAGAAGTAGTTTTAGTTAAACGAAATGGTCTTTCGTGTCAGGCTATGGTAATAAATAATGAGCTGTAGAATTTTGCAGGAAATGAAATGCAAATATAGTATGACTTTGTCCGGCCATTCATAAATACAAAATGTATTATACAATTCTGGTAGAAACCAATTAACCATTGAAATGTTTATAAGAATATCTGGTCATCAGATGTCTACTAGTTCATCTTCACTTGCTGCATTTCTTGTTTGGACGCCCTTTGATGCTTTGCATCAATGCTTTTCTTGTTATATACATGGTGTGAATCATAATGTCCTTATAATGTTAAATTAATTCGTTCATGACCTGAATCACTTCATAAATATCTCTGAAAATCATGACCTTTAGACCTATTCATATTACCAAAAAATTGCATAACATGTATTTGACATTCCAATGTAAGTTGTTTCATTTCATACAAGAACTGGTTTTTAAAGTTTTTACTACATATACATAATGAAGATAAATGACACCTCCCCAAGGGCAGGGCCAGTTTTGGCCCAGGGGCGGTAATAATCTGAACAATCTTGGTAAAGGTCCATTACATAATGTTTCTTGCCAAATATCTAATCTCTAGCCTCTGTCAATTCCGAGAAGTTTAAGTTTGAATTATATAAACATAAGGAAAACCTATGACACAGGGGCTGGGCAATTTTGACACTTAGGGGAAAAATTTGAACAACTTTAGTAGAGGACCTATAGATGATATTATATACAAAATATCAAAGCTCTAAGCCTTGTACTTTCAGACAAGATAATTCTAAGTTTTTACTAAATGTACATGATGAATATCAATGATCTGCCAGGGCAGGGCCAATTTTGACCCAAGGTCTATAATTTGTACAATCTTGGTAGAGGTCCACTACACAACATTTCATGCCAAATATCTAACTTCTAGCCTTTGTCAATTCAGAGAAGAAGGTTTTTTAAGATTTTACTATATACATATATGGAAAACCTATGACCCCCGGGCGAGGCTAATTTTGACACCAGAGGCATAATTTGAACAACTTTGGAAGAGGACCTATAGATGATATCATATACACTTCAGCCTCATTAAAACGCTCATGTTGGGGTCCAATGTCTCAACACAGCGTTCTAACAAGGCTCTCATTAGAACGCTCATTGCGAAATTACCGCATTACTCCACCCACCACATGTATAAATATAACGCTGATTTTTTTTACTTACTGTTCAATAAATATCGACATTATCTTTTTCTAAAACCATTCAATGATGTAAACATATATTATATTCACAAATATTGACTAGAAACTGATTTTCTATTCTTAAGTAACAGTTACTTTGACCCTAGGGTATTCAAAAAGCAATCTTCCTTTATAGTTGAAGAACCTTCATATTGAACAGTTGCTGTCATCAAGTTATTATCTTGTAAGTAAAAATGCTATGACAGATGGACGGAAAGACGCCAGGGGTTTTACTTAATATAAGCAAATTTTTTAGGGCATACATGTATAATTAATGTACTCAATATAAGTGATCATCCTAACAACATTGAGGTCATTTGATATTGACCTTTGACCTTGTGACCCCAATATAGATATGGATCTTTTATTCAATATAGGCAATTATCCCTATTAAGTTTGAACATTGTAAGCCAAATGGAACTTGTGTTATGCTCCAGAAAGCAAAATTATCAGTGTTCAGGTCATTGTGACCCTGACCTTTGATCTTATGACCCTAAAATCAATAAGGGTGAAGTATTGGACATGGTTGTTCATCCTATAAAATTTTACAGCTGTAGGTTGATTAATACTTAAGTTATTAAGCTAAAACTGTTTTCAGTTTTCAGGTAATAGTGACCTTCACTTTTTACCTTGAGACCCAAAAATCAAAAGGGGTTTTCTTCTAAAAATATTGGCAATCATGGCCAGCGATATGCACAACTTGGGATGGTACTGATCACTCCTGTGAAATTTGCTTGACATCTACCCCCCCCCCCTGTATTGAACCTGTTAAAGCCAAACAAGCTTTTTGTGGAAGGACAGACAACAAGATGGACAGACATGCCATTTAAATAGACTATTCACTATGGGGATATTTCTTTTGTTATTTTCTTTTGTTTAATAGTGGGACATGTCCCCTCATTCTATTGTTACTGAATGGACTCTATAATAATAATTGTTCTCTTTTATTCTGTTTACAGTTACTTGGCCTACTTCTCTTAAATAGCACTGACAAACAGACCGACATGCCACTGAATAGGGATATAGGGCCATTTATATTATTTATTTAAATCGAGGCCCATTGGCTCCTTCCTCTATTGTTACCAAATAAACTCTATTGTTCTCTTTAGCTCTGTGTACAGAAGATGGCTACCTATCCATATTTGGTGATGCAGACAGATGGACAGACAGACGGCAAAGGCAAAAACAATATGTCTCCCAAAAATTTTAAACATTATTATATTCACATAACAAGATTGCATTTGTGAAAAATGCTATGCCACCGCATTAATACAAAACTAAATAGAAGCAGAAGTTGTTTCTACACAACTGAACTTTGCAATAATGCAGTAGTCTCTAGTGACTTTAGGGGTCAAGGTAATATTTCACTATGTCAAATAACAGACAATGTGCAGATGTTTTAAATGTTCACATACAAAGGCCATAGTATAATAATTGATTCAAAATAAAATTATTCTTACTTGATAAAAATTAAGGTATTTACTGCATTACATAACCCCCCGTTCACACAGAGCTGCGACTTCAGAACGATCATGCCGATCAAGCCACGATCTGAAAAAGTATTTGATCGGGGCCGATCGGCGTTGAAATTGAACAATTTAGCAAATTTTCTTCATTACGACTGTACTATGATGTTTCCCACGTAAAACGCGCTGCTGACACGCTTCTACTACAATGTTACGCTGACCGATGCCGACCAGCGGCCGAGTTTATTGCGTTTATACTACACTGCCGCTACGACAATCAAGCTCGCACTACGACGCTACGCAGACCTAGAAGACTGTACGACAAGATCGCTACGACAGTGCCGATCATATCACGCTTGTATTACGCTTCTGGTACGATTATGGCGATGATATATATATCTTGGATTTCAGAAATTATTTTTCATTTACTTCCAAACTTCAAACATGAACGGACTTATTAATGCTGATCTGATTCATCTGACTTTACTTCAGCAAGAACAAATATTGGTTGAAATTGAAATTGCACAGATTGTTAACAGGAGGAGGCGCAGAAGGAGGCCAAGAAGATACTGGGTAAGGCCTTTACAACATGGTTTACGGGGCATTTTTTTTTTTTCAAACTGTTGCAGATGTGCTATGTTCGAAGTCTCAGCTGCAAATGATCAAGTAAAGTGTCGCCCTATATATGTAGTTGTCAGATTATGATTGGTCAAATAGCAAAGCTATAAAAACAAACTGCTACCTGACAGGTCGTGGTATCATCGTCGTAAGGTCATAGTAGGTCTTCGTAGGATCGTCATAAACGTAGAGAGATCGTAGTGGGAACGTAGTAAGAACATAGTGGGAACGTTGTAGAAGCGTACTCGGTATGTCTCGACTGTACTACGCTTTTACTGCGCTTTTACTACGATCATGAAGAACTATCCATGATGCTTACGCGCTGCTTGTACGATTACGGCGCTTCTACCATGCTCTTTTTACGCATTTACCCCGATTCTTGTTGGCTACGATCCCGCTACGCTTGTTTTGAGCACGTTCAAAATAAAGCGTAGAGCTTTTCGATCATGAAGACGCTACCGTGATCATACTGCACTTATGTAGACTCCACTACGTTTCTCTCGTGATTTGCCACGATCGGCCACGTTTTTGGGCACGTTTGGATCGTAGAAGAAGCGGCGTCTATGTGTGAACGGGGGTAAGTGTATTTAACTTTAAAATACAGTTACAGTTTTTGTGTGTTTAACTTTGAAATACAGTTACAGTTTTTATATACTATCATTTCAAAAATGCATAATTTATGAAAACATAAAAAAACATTTCTGCTTTATAATCATAATTATATACATGGTGTGATGTCCTTATTATGTGCTAAAATCATTTCATAAATATCCCTGCAAAGCTTGCTAGAGATCATGACCTACAACCTCTCATAAGTATTTCTGAAAAGCAAAAATCTAACTTGCTAGAGGTCATGAACTTTAGACAAACTCCTAGCTATTGAATCTGTTTTTAGAAAAATTGCATCAAATGATTGCACACACGCATGAGTTATTTCCCTTTCAATATTTAATTGTGATTTTAAGAAAATTGCCTAGGGCAGGGCCAATTTTGACCCTAAAGCTTTAGTTTGAATAATCTTAATAGAGGTTCACTAGACAATGTTTCATGTCAATTATCTAAGCCTTAGCCCTTGTAGTTTTGAAGAAATAGATTTTTTTTAAATTTTACTATATACATAAAACAAAAAAAAATACCCCTTGGGCAGGGCCAATTTTGACCCCAGGGCTATAATTAAAACAAGAACACTGCACTTCTATTTAATGAGATCTTTTTACCTACAAGGCCTAAAGCTTAGACATTTTGCACTAGGTTCTGTCTTGCCGACCTCTACCAAGATTTTTATGCTCCCCGAAGGGTGAGCATATAGTCACCGCTTTTTCACCGCTTTTCTTGTCCGGGACATAACTCTGAAAAGGTATCAACATGAAACTTTGTAGGTAGATAGATCTCATCTGGTTGATATACAGTGCACAAGAACTGTAACTTGACTAATTTTGGAGTTATTGCCATTTGTTTATTTTTACTTTTTGAAGTTGTCCGGAACATAACTCGGAAACCATAAGAGATATCAACAAGAAACTTTGTAAGTTGATAGATAACAGTGATTAGAAGTGCAGTGGAAAGAACAGTAACTCTGCCTTTCCTAAATTTGGAATTATTGCACTTTGAACTTTTTCCAGGGACATAACTCTGAAACTACAAGAGGAACAAGAGGTGTACTTTCCTGTGTCCAAAACCTTTTCGGGGAGCATCACCCGGCTCAAACCGGGCTGTTGTTTTCCTTATAATTCCTTTTGCACGCATGCAACACAGAGACAAATCACTACATGCCACCGCATTGCTGCTGTGTCATAAAAACCAATAAATATGGTCCACAATAATTTATAGTGGCCTCCAATTATGATCCCAAGACATGTATTAAGTTTAATGTGAATACCTTCAATAGTTAAAATGAAGATGAAAGGTACACGAAAAAACTGAGAATTTAAAAAAGGGCCTGTCAAAATCATACTTAAGACAAATTGCCCCCATTATATTCTCAAAGACATGTTTGGTGTTACAAGCAAATATTTTAGTGGTTGACAATATTGTGATGTTGTATGTAAAACTTTAATTCTATTTTTGCTGACAAGTAAATACAATAGCTTGACTGTTCTTCCAAAAGAGAAGCAAAGAAGGGAAAACAAAAGTTTTGTGACCAAAAAATCAATATCTGGATATGACAATGTAGTGTAAACTTTTATTTTTAACACAAAGGTAAGTGTACTTACTTGAAGCAATTTTCATTGTAAATACTGTTCCATATACGATGAGGTGAGTCCCCTTTATAACCTGTATACCTTTCAGGGTTCAACAATAAATCTACATACTTCATATCTGGAGAAGTGTCATCTGAAATAAAGCAAATTTATTTAACCAATATTCCAGCTGAATGATATTAATGACTTGATTTAAGCTAATCAGTTTTACATATATCTTACATCATTATTATGATACAAAGTTATCAAAAAATCAAGTAAAAAAAAAGACATCCCCTTTGAGGTATAATGACATTATGATATTATTTTGACATTTTTAATGTTATTTGGTTTTTTCATTTAAAATCTGTTTAATATAAGAATAACAATCTTTCAATTCAACTGTAATAAAAGCATGTTTGTACTCAAATTAACTAGAACTGCCACTATCATGGCGTGAATACCCCCGCATACCACTTTGTCAGAATCAACAGTGGCCATTTAGAGCTCAAGGACAACCTCCCTGCCAAATCTGAGGTTACTAAGCCAGTGCATTGCTAAGTTATGTATTCTACATGCTTCAAATGTGAAAAATGTCAAAATCAATACATTGCGGACAGGACATTCTTTAGCAATTGAGAAGAAAAGCTTTTTTTTTTGTCAAGGTCCCTGTGACCTTGACCTTTGACCCAGTGACCTCAAAATCAATAGGGTTCACCTTATAGTCATGATCAACATCCATACCAAATATGAAGACTGTGGGTCAAAGGAATCTTAAGTTAATGGGTGGACAAACTTTTTGAAGTCAAAGTCCCTATGACCTTGACCTTTGATCCAGTGACCTCAAAATCAAAAGGGGTCATCTACTAATCATGATCAACATCCATGTCAAATATGAAGACTGTGGGTCAAAGGAATCTAAAGTTATTGGGCAGACAAAGTTTTTGAAGTAAAAGTCCCTGTGACCTTGACCTTTGACCTGGTGACCTCAAAATCAAAAGGGGTCATCTACTAATCATGATCAACATCCATGTCAAATATGAAGACTGTGGGTCAAAGGAATCTTAAGTTATTGGGCGGACAAGCTTTTTGAAGTCAAGGCCCCTGTGACCTTGACCTTTGACCTGGTGACCTCAAAATCAATAGGGGTCATCTACTAATCATGACTAACCTCCATGCCAAATATGACGACTGTAGGTCAAAGGAATCTTAAGTTATTGGGCGGACAAGCTTTTTGAAGTCAAGGCCCCTGTGACCTTGACCTTTGACCTAGTGACCTCAAAATCAATAGGGGTCATCTACTAATCATGACTAACCTCCATGCCAAATATGAAGACTAAGGGTCAAAGGAATCTTAAGTTAATGGGCGGACAAGCTTTTTGAAGTCAAGGCCCCTGTGACCTTGACCTTTGACCTAGTGACCTCAAAATCAATAGGGGTCATCTACTAATCATGACTAACCTCCATGCCAAATATGAAGACTAAGGGTCAAAGGAATCTTAAGTTATTGGGCGAACAAGCTTTTTGAAGTCAAGGCCCCTGTGACCTTGACCTTTGACCTAGTGACCTCAAAATCAATAGGGGTCATCTACTAATCATGACTAACCTCCATGCCAAATATGAAGACTAAGGGTCAAAGGAATCTTAAGTTATTGGGCGGACAAGAAAAAACCGACGGACGGACGGACGGCCGGACGGACGGACAAGCTGATTCCAGTATACCCCCCTTACAACTTTGTTGTGCGGGGGTATAACAAGCAAATTCGTTGAATTTATATCCCCTGCCGAGTAGTGGTTATTACTAACACAACAACTGGAGACATAAGGCTTTATTTATGTAAATTTATCATGGCATGCAAATTTCCTTTTCTTATTAATGATTCCCATAAAGTCTTGTTGAAAACAATCCAGAAGATGAAAAGAAATAGCAATATTGCTCTCTATGCATACTGAAAAACTTATGAAGGGCCATAACTCTGTTTTGAAGGCTCTGACAGGAACAAGGCAATGATGCACATCTCTTGGTATTTATTGTTCCAATAAAGTTTCACTGAATTCCAGCCAGTAGTTGCAGAGAAGGAGCACGGAAATGATTATTGCTCTATATGCATACTGCATAACTAATCAAGGGCCATCTGTGTTGAGTCTGAGCGGCACAAGTCAACATGTACATCTCTCTTGGTACTGATGGTTCCCATAAAGTTTAGTTGAGTAAATAAGCTTACTTGTGAAAGATTCATAAAGATTACTCGTGAAAGATTCATAAAGATTACTTGTGAAAGATTCATAAAGATCTAATGCATTAGCTTAAGTGATTTTTTTTGAGAAACTTTCCAATGCATAAACTGTTCTGATCCATAATATATATATTATTATATATATAATTAAAATGATCAATTATTGGATTGTACCTTATATTATTTTTGCATTTGATATATATAGAAATGAGAAATGATTTACATTAGCCATAAGCTCTGATGGCTGATGACATACCTAAGAAAATATATTGAAACTATAATTAGTAACATATTTATTATAATAATACTTGAATTATAATTGATCCTTCAATTACAGTCAAATGTTTACAATTTTTATGTGATACCAATCAAAGTTCAAGGGACATAAAAAGAATATAATATTCTTCATTTCATAACAAAAGTTTCCTCCCTTGAACCATTTCAGATTTACTTAGACTATTACTTTACTGTAATGTAGGAATTTATTGTCTACTCTGATCTAGAATTTTATATATTTTAATATGTGTGAATCGCCATTGTGGATAATTACTGTATATGTTAATTAGTTTGTATAAGTATGGGAGAGTATACTATTGTGTATGTGTTGGTATTGTAGTACTGTGTTAAGTATGGAAGTGTGTTACTGTGGTGCATTATCTTTATGTGGTGGATATGTGTTAATGTTGTTATGTTATAATGTTTGGTGAATGATTTTGGAAAGTATAATATTGTTTGTATTGTTTTCTTTTGTTACTGTGTAACTATTTTGTTTTATGGCGTAGTAAAGCTGTTTATGTATAATAACTTGTTAATATAATATGTTTATTAATAAATGATAAAAGTAGAAATAAAGAATATAAATAATGTTTAAACAATATAATATGTTTGTATATGCATTTTATGTAAGCATACAGTTACTTATCTTAAATAATTGCAATGGTCATACAGCAATTTCAATTGCCTCCCTTACAATGATTATTATTAGATAATTACTTTTTCTTGCCATTATCTTGGAACTTTTCATTGACACACATCTTTTTGTATGCTTTATTGTTGTTTTTTTTGTCTTTTGGTTGTTTTTTTTTTGTTGTATTTTATTTTTTTCCCTGTATTAAAAGTGCCTTAAACTGATTACTCTATTATCACATCCTTTGCTGGATATGGGGTCAGGGACATCTCCAGCCTCCTATCTTATCAATATACTGATTAAGAGGGTGGCTAGTATTGTCCCTGGCACCCTGGGGGCGCCCTTCTTTGGCAGAGAGGAAAAGTGCTTGCATTTTACGTTGCCAGGGAGGTGCTCTGCTTGATTTCAGGGCCCCATTCCCAGTCCGGTGGTTATTTAGTTTATTTTATTATTGTAATAAAAAAATACTGAAAGATGCAATTTAATTCATCACGGTGAATGCTTATGGTTTCCGGCACATTTATTATTAAAAAAAGTGAGAAAAAAATATTGATATAAATGAAAAGAAAATACAGTAACATATTTTTGCACCATTCATTTATATTTAAGGTATTACCACCCTAATGGGCACTATAAGGAACTAAAAAATTGACATCATAGGTCAGATATATACCTTAAAGTACAAGTGTATGCAAAATTTAACCAAAGTTTACCGTACGGAAATCAAGTTATAGCCACTTTCTTATGAGGGCCTTGTTTTGGAAATGAGGAACCTTTAAATAATCTGCAATAACATTCTAATGAAAAATGTTTTCCCATTAATTTTTGGTAAGAAACAAATAGTACCATTCAGCTAACAATCCAAATAAGCAAAATTATGGTTTCTACTTAAAATTTATGAAATCTGTATAAAAATGTTACCCTACCCCACCCATTTTTACCACGTGTCTGACAATTTTCCTACTTAGGGAGCCTAATTTAAAAAATCCTTAAAATTTACCCAAATGAGTGCCTGTTTTCAAAGTTTCCCTAAATTTTTAAAGAAGTATATTGTTGGTCTTGTAAAATATGAAATACTTTTACCGTCTAGTTTTAATTTTATTACACTTTGAAAATATCAGGTACCATATTTATTACTAGATTTAGCATAATTTAGCCAATAAATACCTATATAAATTAAAAAATCAAAATTAAACACTTTTCTTTCCAAATGGGACATGAGAGATACATAAATAATGTTAAAAGAAAAAAAGAAAGAAAAAAAAAAGTTGACCCTTCCGGGGATTGAACCCACGGCCCTCATTTTCAATGTAGTTAACAGTAGTTCTAGCCTATTTGAATACTCTTCAAAGCGGAGGTAATGCATAAGGATGGTAATACCTTAACACAGCTTTTACTATCTTTTTTTTTCTTATTTTTTGCAGTAAGTGTAATTAATTTTTATATGCCACCATATTACACTATGTTTTTGAGGTCTGTATGTTTGTTTAAACTGTCCCACTGGGTATATATATTTAACTTAGTCAAGTGTAATGTTTATATGTATCGTAGATATAATGATGAATGTTTTTTTGTAAAATAATGAGTAATCTTAAAATTTTCTCTTAAAATTGCCGTGATTTAAATGACAGCATCAAGAGGCGTGATGTTTTTAATCTATTTCATACAAAATATGCTGATAATTACTTTGTCTGCAAGAAACACATTTTATTAAAGAATTTGAAACGAAAATTTATTCTGAATGGAATGGCTTATGTTATTTTAGTTATTGTAAATCTAATGCAAAAGGTGTGGCCATTTTATGTAGAAAAGATTTAGATTTTAAAATAAATTTTGTTAAAACTGATGACTCTACGTTAGGTATTTCATTGGATTCCATAAATTTTACATTAGTTAATATATATGCACCAAATACAGATAGTCCTAGTTTCTTTAGAAATATTTTTGATATATTAAATTGTTCTGACGAAATTGACTCTCTAATAATTTGTGGAGATTATAATCTTGTTC